TTCTAATCAATTCTTTTATTCTACGATCTTTATACCGACGATTAAAAAGCATCGAGTTCGATCGCGAAGATCGGGAACAGTCTGTCCATAATCAGTGCTTATATTTATGCCAAGACACGAACGGGAAGAGCATTAATATCGCGATGTTTTAATGTTATTAATAAATTCTGCTAACTTACTCGTTCATCCCATCACGATCGATCTCTCTTTTCTTTTTTTATTTTCTTCAGGAACCTTCATTGGCCTTAATCACTTTGTTCTATTCCTTAACGATACGATTTCTCATTTTTGACGATCGCGAGTACAGAAAAGAAAATTTTTCGCGAACAATCAAGATCATCGAAGCATATTGATTCTTTTTTTCTTTTATTCTTCATTCGAAAGAAAGAAAAAAGAGAAAGAGAGAGAGAGAGAGAGAGAGAGAGAGAGAAAGAGAGAGAGAGAGAGTGAAAGAGAGCGATAGAGAGAGACGTTTGGGAGCGGCAGCAGCAAACATCATATCGTTTCCTATATTTGTAATAAGCGTATTTCGAAAATTCGGCCACGTAGAGCATTACATAGTTTTTTATTCGTTCGATAACGATGCTTGCTGCAATTTTGATTCTCGTCATAAGTAGACGATAAGGACAACGCAGACCGCCGCATCGTCTCATAATTTTACGTTTCCGATAACGAACGCAAACCGTGGCCCGATGGTACGCGTCGTGAACGGATACGCTCGGAAGAAAGGATATATATATATAGATATATATATATATACACACGTATATATATATATATATATATGTATATATATATATATATACCGTGATCGTGATATATCGGGTGATATTGTCATGAAAGTGTTTCATATTCTTTACACATATGTACGTAGGTACAACAATAATTGAAACCCCGACTTTTGTTGGAGCACGAAACGTAGAGCCGTGTGTATTAGCGATTTGTTTCTTACTACTGCTACTATATAAAAATGCGATAAAATGCATTGCTCATTTTTTTTTTTAATAGGCTTCCTCTATTTAATATTGAAAAATATCGCTGCAAAGAAAAAAAAAACACAAGAAAGTTGAAACGTAATAAACGTGTGTAGGCTCGATATTCCTTCGCTCTGATCGTCGGGGTATTAAGAAATCTTGCCGTCAAACTTCAATATCGTCGTCCATTCGATTCTCGTTCATGTTTTCCTCATTGACAGGCTATCAAAACAGACAGGTTCTTGACGATCGTGTATAGCATTTTACACGGTAGAAGCGTATGCATACACGTATCGATATCTCTTACCAATTAATTTATACTTATTTTTTATCGTTCGATAATAGAATACGACTAAACAACAGTTCGGTCACAAATCTAGGCGATAAAGATTTTATGAAATTACGACGAATAAATTTCTATCGATCTCGAGGGAGGAAGGATATTGTTACGATCGCTATAGGCGTTTGCGAAACTTTAAGTATAACAACCTGATCTTTCGATATGCAACAGGAAGACTAGCCGAAACGAAACAAAACAACCTGTAAGTGTTCACCTTTTGTCAGAAATGTACGATGTGAACGATAAAGATTTCTGTCTGTCTTTGTCTTCGCGTGCGTGTGTGTGTGTGTGTGTGTGTGTGTGGTGTATACGTTTTATGTAAATTCTTTCCAAGAGATACAATACTATGTACATTGAAAAATCAACAATAACATTGCAACTACTCGCACAAAAGACGGTTTATATTATATTCCTTCGACCGAATCGAGATCCACTATACGATTGCAACGAATTATGGCTTCGGTTTCGCTCGAAACATAACGAATTGCATTTTGCCAAGTGCTATAGCACGATGTCATGGCTTGTAGAATAAAACACAACGTAAAACGTTAAAACACAACTCAACATTCCATAATCTTTAACATTACATCGCGATAACTCGACTATATCTCCTCCTCTCTTTTATATTTCTAAAACTCACCGTGCGTGAAAAGTAAGGGATTAGAAGAAGCGCGTATTAAAAAAGAAAAGAAAGGAAGGTAAGGAAAAAGAAAGATAAGAAAAGGAAAATAAAAAAAATAGGAAAAGGAAGAAAAGATAAAACGATCGGTCGTATAAAACTCTCGGTTCGATAACCAGATGTTAAAAAAAGAAAAAAGAAAGAAAAATAATAATAATAATAATAAAATAAAAATAAAAATAAAAAAAAAAAAAAAATAAAAAAAAAAGAAAAAAAAATGAAGAGAACGAACGTAATACAAATGATATTTTGACGAGTCGGAAGAAAAGTAGACTTTGAAAGAACGAAAACGGCATATTTTCTAAATCTTCCACTTAATTCTATATTACTGGGATAAAAGCCGCGTACGTTTTAGTCACTAATCGAGCCGACCGAATTACGCGAAATAAATGTAATTTTCTGTTTGATTTGATCTTTGTCACTGATCGAAACATAAAAAGTACGTCCTTATGGTTGTACGACCGCAGACGTTGGAAGACATGAGAAAAGATCGAGGAACGTGCAAACGTTTCAATTTCTATTCGACAAATAATAGATCTAAAGTAGGAATATGTATTTCTGTTAAACGCAGAAGAAAATAGTATTCATTCGAAAACAGATTTAATTTATTTTCGATAACGAGGCCTGGCATGTGCTAAAATAGAATTGAGATCATCGCTGGCTTTATCTACATATTCGATGAGAAAAAAAATAGGAAATCTTTATATTAACGTTATAGTACGTCTTTTCATTCGTTTCCTCGATCTTTCTAATTAGCAAGAAACTTGGACAAACTGGCACGAGGAACGTACGAGAGCGTAAAAGGAATAAGACTTTGACTCCGAATGCGATTAAAAAGGAATACGAGCAAAATGAGGCGAGAAAATGAATAAAAAGCGCGCTTGGGCCAACGAAGAAACTAGGCGATAAAAACGAAACTAAAATGACATGCTATAAATCTCGAGTAAAAAAAAGCCTACTTAGTTCTGCCCGCACGAAATTTTTCTATTTTATATACATATACATATACATATATATATATATATGTATATATATGTGTATGTGTGTGTGTGTGTGTGTGTGTGTGTATGTGTGTGTGTGTGCGTGTGTGCGCGTGTGTATGTATGTATATACATAAGTACTCATACGTAAGATAATTCGAGATGCGCGGTACAGATATATACGTCTATGTCGGATGCGTCTGTGTATGAAATCGTCGCACGGAAAAGAACATAACTAAAAAAAAAGAATAAAGAAAAAAGAAAAAAAAAACTAATCGCAACGAATTAAAAAATCGGCAAGCCCGATATATTATTTATATATCGACGTTTTACCAGCTACGATGAATATCGACAGTAGAAATATAACCTTGGTAACGTCTCTCGTAACTTTAACAATAATAACAGACTAATATGAGATAGTCATATGATATAATATATACAAGTTATATTTTGGTTTTCCATGTTCTTTCGTATCTTCTCTGCTATAAAGTCTTTCCGCTTAGATCTAGCAATTTGATAACTCGTTGTTCTCAGCCGAACAGAAGATATCGCCGAAACAACGAGAGCTCTTTTTCGAGGAAAGAAACCAGCAGTCTTCTCTCCTCCTCTTTGTCATTCGATCATGGAGCCTAGGCTAATGTCGTCGCTCTGTTCGATCGATCGACTTTTAGTCGATTCTCTTTGTCGAATTTCTCTGATTGTCAAAGAATGTATAACAAAATTCCTGATTATGGTTCATGACGATAATCAGGACAGGGAGAGTCTCATTTAATTCTTATCGAGCGGAACTCCTTACCAAGGTATAAAATCGAAAAGTATTCGAATGCCTGTGAGAGATAAAGAGTACGAATGAGTACGCAACTAACGATGCGTTCGTTACATCGATATAATGAAATAAAAATGAAGAAAAAAAAAAAAAAAAAAAGAAGTATTTGTGGTGTGCTTGAAGATGAGCTCTCGAAAGAGAGGCGATTTACCAGAGGCTGACAGTCTTCGGTGAAAGGAATGTATCCCAGGAAAGGAGTATAGTTTTTACAGCGCGATATTAGGTCGACGTCGCGATATATAAAATCGCCACGCCGAAGCGAGCTACTAAATAAAATTTGACGAAACGTTTTATCACGAAACGATGGAAGTAAGCGACGACCCAAATTACCGGCTTGAGATCCTAAAGGGTTGACAAATTACTAGACCTATTTAAAAGTCGTTTTAACTAGCGAATAAAATAACTCGGCGTCTTTCATATGAGACCAGAATTGGCGGCCGTCGAGCGGCTGTCGAGCGACCGTAGCTAGCGACGGAACCATGCGAAGCTTGCCATGCTGCTACACTTTTTTATCGTCCGAGTTTCACGGACAACATGTTGCCTGTGGACGACTGTGGTCATACCATCACCATGTCCTCGTCGACGCTTATAATAGTGGGAAAAGCGTTGTCCGCTGAGCTTTGCCTCTGTATGGGTTTCTTTCGTACCAGACCGTCTACGAGAAATAGAAAATAACGTTCTTAGAAGTAATGTCAAGGATTTGTAAGAAATTTCAAAGGAATTTATACGTTTTACGGTATGACTGTCGTCATATCGTATCGTAGGTCGTTTATATTCGCGATTACGCAGGATAGAAACACGGCTAAAATCCTAAGTAGTGATACTTTAAAGTAAAGACAAACGTACCGGCGGAAGGTGGAAGCAAATCGTCGAGAGATCCGTCGTCCAAATCCGTTGCTGAGAGAAGGAGATCGTCGTCCGAAGAAGCACGGGTTAAGCTCGGCAACGTGGACGTCAATAAAGCCTTCTCCTTTTGGATCTCCTGTATGTGATCTACGAGCAACGCTTCCTCCTCGTCTCCTCGATCTCTCTCCCTATCGACACCCCCGCTTCGTGCCGTGATATTCGGCGTCGCTACGTTCAGTTCCTCCGGACTAAATATCTTGGAGGACCTTAAGCTCGAGAGTCGATGGGTCGCCGTGTGGCATGCGGATTCCAAAGTATTTATGTCGGCTAAAGTCGCTCTTACGACTCGCAATTTCTCTTGAACGATCGTTTCGACGCAACGGGTCTGTCTGCCCACGTCTTGAAGCGAATCTTGTGCCGGTAGGGTTCGACTCGTTCTCAATATACACGGAGCGAATACAATCGCCAAGGCGGACGGTGACATTCGATTGTCCACTTCGTGCAAGGCCACTCTCGCCAGATGTACGATCAATCGTTCCATCAGATCGAAATTCGGCTTCGGCAATTTCTTTAGAATTGCAAAGAGCGTGCTGATTCTATCGTGTGGGTCCGTCAAATTTGCGGCGTGAAGGAAATCGTCGTAATATTCGAAAGTCAACAGAGGCTCCGGCATATCTCGGAAGAAGCTCTTCAAAACGGCTGCTAGAACGTGCACCTGATAATTCTCAAAGTCCACCTTCTCCAAATCGCCCTCGTCCATTTTAACTTTGAGCTCTCGTACTTTCGAACTTACTCCGCTCTTTCTGTATATACCCTCAGTGTATAATCCGTGCATCTCTATAGTAGTGATCAATCGATCGACTACCAGCGGTACTTTGCCGTCGCCGCAGTCCAATTTGTACAAAGGAACGCCGAAAACTCTACGCGAATTAGCTTCGAGCATTGACGCTTCCTTTCCGCACTCGGGCGTTGCTTTTGTGTAACATTTCTTATGACACGTCAGCTTGCAATCTGTTTGATGAGGAAAAAAAAAAGAAAAAGTGGTAGGTAAATACGATTGACAAAATGTATTCTCCGACGAACGAACGAACGAACGAACGAACGAACGAACGAACGAACGAACGAACGAACGAACGAACGAACGAACGAACGAACGAACGAACGAACAAAGAAAGACGTACTTACTTTGGCAAACGAGTCCTCGTTCGATCGGCCACATAAAGAACGAAGTACAAACTTCGCAAGCGGTGGGAATATTAATGATGGTTAATTGGAACATGTGATTACCATGTCGTATGGGCTCTTCTTGTTTCCGTTTCTTTTCCTTTTTCCGTTTACTCTTACTTTGCTTTTCCGGCGCTTCTGTCTTAACTAATGTCATGAATTCGTTCATAAATCCTCTGAAGGCATTAACGCCCATTGTCACGGGAAAATCTTCGCTAGTATTTTCTTGCTTACAGACGGTCTCCATAACGTGAAGAAAATTCGCTATCAGATCGGTGTACTTTATGTTTCCTTCTACGCCCTGTTGAATAGCAACGCTGTAAGTAATAACCAGCTCGTCTTTGAATTTACGCAACGCCTGTTTAAAAACGCGATCCACCTCACTCGGTTTTCTACCTTCTTCCTGAGCCTCCATTATGTATATCTTTTTAGTAATGAAGTCCTGCATAAGCGCCAATTCTTTGGCATCGGATATGATCTTATCCGTGCTGTCGGAAAAAGCGGAGGTACCGGTAAGACTGAATTTTGAAGCCACCGTTTGTTTGGTAGCATCATAAGGTGTACGCGGTGGCTTTCTGTTTTTCCGTCTGTTTGGTGTATTCGCTAAAAGACATGGCATTTTGAGTACTCCTCCATTCTGAATGCACTTTACGTGATACAATTGTTTGCAATCGACGCATTTGTATCCTTGGGTAACAAAGGCGTCCATTTTCTCGTGACAACAAACGCATACGTCGTCCTTTGCGAAGCGCGCTACTTTTCTAAAACGATGTCCGGCCAAGGTAAAGAGATTGTTGCCCTTCCATTCCAACAGATTCATACCGGGAGCGAGTTTCAATTCGTTAGGACTGGTGTCCGCGCCGGACTTGTCGTCGTTCAATGCTGACGTCTTAGTAGCCGGATCGGAATTTCTTCTTCGAAGTTCCGAGGTCGTTATGGCGTTCGATCTCATTCGTTTTCCCGGTTGTTGGCCCTTGTAAACCGTTTCGTTCTTATTAACTGGCCAATCGGTGACGGATCTAGAGGTGACTTCGCTCGGATTATCCTTTCTCGTCCATACGTTAATATTTTCCATGCGTTTCATGTCGGCCTCCTTAATGGTACCAAGGAAGAGATTCCTCGTCTCACTGACACTGGTATCCGAGGCGCTCTCGCCCATGGATCTGCATTGAACCTCCCTCGATGGTCGATTTCTTCTGGCACTTCTTACCGGCACATCCGGCTCGAATTTGTCCTTTGGCCTAGAATTTTTATCTTTAAGATCCGTTCTTCTCGCGAGTACGTTCTTCGCGGCGTTCTCGTCGTTCGTGGGCTCCGCCTTGGCCGAAGTGCTGTCGCCTTCGGAATTTATCCTTCTCGAATAATTCATCTCTTTGACGTCCTTACACAATCCATAATTTTGTTGTTCCCGTCGTGACGGCGAAATTGGTAGATTTTCCAAGCGATCTCCCGACAGTCGCGACTCGCGAGAATTTTCCATACGAATGAAACGTTCGCTCGCATCCAATTTTACGTTGTAATTTGCAGCCTCGTTCGGTTGTTCCAATCGAGAGTGTTCTAAAACATTATCGGCTATGTTCTTATATTGAGAAACGTTCGGCGATCGAGTCACGGTCGCTTTCTGAGGCACTGACATTATGTAGTCGTTATAATTTATGGACGAATACTCAGCCCTCCTTCGCCAAATATCCGCATTTGGACTGCGGTTCAAATTCGCATTGGAATGATATTTCATTTCTCTAGGATTCGTAAAGGACGGGGCGACATTGAAAATGGGCGGAGCGCTTTGCACGGCGTTCGGTATATCGCCATCCGTTTCACCATCGCTACAACCCGTCGACGAGCTATCGGTTCTTTTACTTATCGAAGACAATCTGTTGGAGCTCACTAAATTCGTATTCGTAATAACTATGGCCGAGTGATCGCCACGTTTCGTTCTTGTACTTGGAATGGGCTTGCAGCTCGAATTTTCTTGCGATTCAGAACTATTAACGCTACCTTGAGATTCGTAACTTTTTAAGCTAGTAAGACTTTCGATGCTGCTCTTACGCTCGCCAATTTCTTCGGAATAAAACGTTTCAGAATTTTTTGGGGCGACGCTCGTCGACTCGTGCAATACCCTTTTATTCGGTGTAATTTTCCGTTTGGAATAGGGTACGCTCGTGTCGCCGGTCGCCGCTTCTCTACGTAAGTTCTCTTGCCTGCAAGACGAGATCACGAAAATTTCACGAGACATCGATATAAAAGGAAAAAAAAAGAAGCAGATAATTACATGAGGACGATATAGTAGTTATACGATCGACTTACTTGACCGGCGTTAAGCGCTTTTGCGCTTCCAACTTTCGAGGGGATACAGTGTACTCCGGTAAGGAACGTTCTTCGCAGATTGACGATGATCTGTAAAGGAAAATACGAAAATTATTAGCTATGGAAGAAATGGAAAAAAAATATTACCAAAATACTTACTCTTCCGCGTCTGCGTGAGTCGCAGGCGAGTAGGTGATTTTTTGTTGAACCGTATGCTCCTCGGAATCCCGATTTTCCTGGGGTTCTTCGATCTTCTTCATATCATTTCTCCGCCTTTTAAGTTCCATGAAAGCTTTCCTAGAGTTCCTACCTCTAACGTAAGCCTGAAATATTGTTACGCAGGATCTTAATTTTTTAAACCAAGTACGTTGTTTGTACCCTCTCCATATGGCTTGAATATGAATAGCAGCTTCTGTTCTCGCGCGTAACGCCTGTGCAAATCGTTGGGCACATACCATTCTCCAAAATGATTGTATTTGCACTGCCGCATTCTTTAACCTTAAGAACCTTCTCCTTTCCAAGCAAGCACGAAACCAGTTCTGTATCGTCGTGATGCTCGTAATGATTTGTTGATGCAATTCTATATCGAGCTTTATCTTCTCGGACTCTCGAAGAAATACCTTTGTCGTTCCAAGCTGATAATTGTCTCTATTCAGATTCAACGTTAACAAAAAATCACGCACATCCGATTGCGAACTCAAAAGCCCTTTGGGCAATAACATTCGATACAGTTGAATAAATTCGTCGTATGTTAATCTGACATTAAAGCCTGCTTGTCTGATTCGAACTGTCTCTAACATCCCGGTATATCTTAGCTGCCGCTGTACGGTTTCTTCGTCGAATTCGTTTGGAACTTTATTGGCGTTGCTTTTTATGCATCTAATGAAAAAAGGATTTGCTTGATTTAAGGTATCCATAAGGCTGTGTAAACTTTGTTGAAATTGTGCCGATACGGTCATGGGCTGCTTCCTTGCTTTTCCCGGACCAGTCCCATAGCTTTGCGTTCTTCCGGCGAGAGTTTTCACAGTCTGAAGATTCTTTAGACCCTTTTTACCTCGTTCCCTTGGACGAAAGGATTTGTTTTTCCTGTAAACATTTTCAATTGAGAATCATTGATAAACATATATATATATATATATATATATATATATATATATATATATATATATTCGGTATAAAGCGCTCGTCTATTCCTTTTCCTGTTCTTTTGTTTATTCTATCGTCTATTCCTCGTGCTTTCTTTTATTTCCTCGCGTAAAAGTACATCATAGAAACATTAAATATTATTTATTATAATATAAATTAGAAGATAAAAGAAGAAAAAAAAGAAACAGGACAAGGAAAAAGCATTACAATGTCTACTTTGGCGAACGGTGCATTGCGATTTTGTTTTTATTACTTTTTTTCTCTTTCTTTTTTGTTTTTTTTTTTTTTTTTATTTGTAAATTTTTCTTGTAAATTTTTTCTTCCCACATACTTAATACGAAATGCAAGATATACGACAGCAGACAATACAATTGGCAGAGTATATAGAATATAATATAAAGGTAAAAAAAGCATAGAAAAATAATTGTAACGATATAGATGGTTAATTGTTGTCAAAATTGTTGTCGGTGACAACTTCATTCGTTGGCATGTGGAAAAGTGGAACAATCATATATTGATATTGTTGTTTTAGAGCAGCGACTATAGTTTGTAAAAAAAGATTCGACGATAGATTTCGATATACGCTAAATGCATATCCATACGAAAAAATCTATAGATGGAAAAAGTGGAGATAGGTCGTCGAGTAGTGGGTTGTTTTTTGTGAGAAACGTGTCCATCTATTGTTATTGATAAACGAGTAACATGCACCAATCACCATAACGTATTGAAAAATTGCGAATATTGAACTACACGTTAGATCGAAAGAAATTTCTGTGATGACGGATGATATAATAGGATTATGTGTTTACAGTTCGAAGAGAGGATTGTGCGTAGGGGCTGGGGATATATTGATGACTAGATAAAATGACAACGTGTAAAGCCATGTATGTACTGCATGGGAAGACCATTAATATCGTACTAAGACGTGATACGAAAGAAACCAACTTCACCCATAAAACCTAAGAGAGCACGCAACTACCTTTACAAGTGAGCCAGTGATTTTTTATAGCTTAAATTAAATTCTTATCCAAGATCCAGGTAAATACGTTTACATACATGACGATTTGATTAGCGCGTTCCATAACGTTAGCTTCGTCTTTCGGAAGCACCCTCTCTAGTGGTGTATGAGTATCCCGTCTGAATTTATTATTATTACTATGAGGCTGGTCTTCCCTCCCCCTTATTATGTAATTCTTCGTTGTTGTTATATTCGACGGGTGTTGAGTCTGATTAATGTTTCTAAACTGCGGCCACGATAATCGATTGTTGTTTACACTGTCGTTTTCAATTTGTACGCAGGATAATGTGGCGGTGGGAGTGGTCGATGGTAAACAGACATTTCGTTGCTTCTGATAGCTGGACGGACGAGTATGTTTGTGAGAACTGAAAAATCCTTTCATGCTTAGTCGATTTCTCGACCCGATCGTGTGATTTAAATGCCTTATGATTATTTCTTTTGCTTATGTAATTAAGTACGTTAAGATTCATAAATGACGAGTTTATTGAATCACAATATTTATCGTTAATAATTTTTTGCTGATTGTAAATCGGCTTAAAGTTTAGTAAGAGACGACAATTAGAAATCGAAATGACCGATCGCGAATGGCAATAATAATAATAATAATAATAATAATAATAATAATAATAATAATAATAATAATAATAATAATAATAATAATAATAATAATAATAAATAATAATAAATAATAATAATAATAATAATAATAACAATAATAATAATAATAATAACAACAACAACAACAACAACAACAACAATAATAATAATAATAATAATAATAATAATAATAATAATAATGAATTATATGAAGTAAAACATTATCGCGTTCTCGCTCGCGATCATGCTCAAAAGAGAAAATGGTCAGAAAGAATAATGCACTCGAGAGTGATAAGATATTTTCATGTGGCGAAGGTCATCAGGTTGCACTCTAATCACATCTAATACAGAAGTGCGAACATAGAACTCTAAATAAAGTCTGTAAACATACAGAATCAAAGTGGTGTGTAATAGCTGTATGGATTTACAATTGAAATTCTATGATACTTGATAGGGGATAGGATAGCCCCTCATTGATACGTAAAATGGAAAGGACGTTTTCGAAATCAATTGAATTGTTTTTTTCATTAAACGTCCTAGTATTATTTGTCGCGCATAGAAAGATAATTTTGATTTTTGATTTTTCAACAAGAGAAAATAATTTACTCGGATATATTTCGGCACTATTGTCAATATTTCGTACAATGTTGTAAATCCATAAGATAACTTAGCCTAAGAAAACGTAACATTTCGTAAAATGACACATACAGTGGATCAAATACCACTTACGCAATTCGGTTAATAGTTAGATTGACGGCCGATAACGTCACAAGATGGCTACAGGGACAAAAGACAATGTGGCCAATATAAATATACTCAACGTTCCAATTAGATATGAACACACAAAAACCTTTTTAGCTAGATGCAAATTTATACTCCGTAGGGTGACACAATATGCAGATCAAACATATTCATAGTCAAGCGTAAAAACATTGGTACTTGCTCTTTATGATTATTAATATAAAATCAATAAATGCGCTGCTCTATTGAAGATGTAAAAGCATTTGACATATTTTTGTTTTTAAAGAATCACCCTTCGTGAGAACGGATATAGCATTATAATTAATGCGTAGAAATGAATGCATACCTTATTAAATTCTCGTTTGGCGTCCTATACCTGTTTTGTGCAGACGTTTTACTACCATCGGCTAAAATAAGATACGACGTACGTATTAGAAGGTAAATTCGAAAAACATTGGATATAAAAGTATTCGCAATTTCAATATAAAATATAATTACCTCTACCATGTCTATGCGCACGTCCTGCTTCCTGAAAAGCGAAGTGAGCTCGAAAAAAAGCTCTGAGAATAGCCCATCTAAATACAGCGACTGGATCGGCACCAACAAGTTCTCGTACAAAAGCCAGGGATGAGTTTTTGAGTACACCGACTACTCCATCTGGTCTCATCAAGTCCAAGTTCTTCTCTCTCATATTAGCAGCTTGGTATTTGACAGAACCTGCGTAATGGCGTACGACAAAGGCCGCTTCCCGTCTCTGCGGCGCTTCATAGAAAGGATTTTCTTTGTGCACCGTATTAAATTTTTGCAACAGTGTCTCATTCGTTGCACCTGGAAAGCTAGAAAGATATGCATTGACAAAGTGTTATTTTTGCTTATAATTAATTATTGCCGTGGGAAGGGGATCGGGGTCGAGGGAGGGGAAGGGAGGGAGAGAAAGAAAAAAGAAGTGCTAACTTGCATTGATCATCTAAAAGGCAAAGGAGTCCATTTGGTTTTCCCTCAATGAGATTTAAACAGCCAGAATTGTCGCTGTATCCTATATCTGTCCATCTGATTCCCTGCTTCCTGTATTCTCTTTGTTCATATTGAAAAACATGTTGATTGAAGTAATGTTGCAATTGTTCGTTTGCATAATTAATGCACAACTGTTCGAAGCTATTGCACGTCTTGAAGTCTTCAAAACCAAAGATATCCAATACCCCTATACTATTTCCTTGATGATCCCTCAAAGTATCCTTCTTAGAGAGTAAAGCATGATTGACCTAAGATCGAGTTTAAGTTATGACGATTAAGTTATGAACGGTACGCTAAAATATTTAAGATAAATTTGCTTGAATCTTATACCTGAAGTACGATCCAATCAAACAAAGCCCCGTATAAACACTTGGCCATTGCATCTCTTGCCGCTATTGCTTCTGGAAGTCTATAATTAATGACCAATGTTTCGCCAGAAGCTCGCGCGCGTTTAGCAGTTAATGCCGCCAAAAGAGTTTCCTGTTTCACCCTAAGCAATTCGGATATTAATGCGACCACTTCAGGATTCTTAACCCCTACTGCCTCGTCGTGATGATGATAGGATTTTCTTGGTTGAAATTCCACGTTACCTGGAATATGGGACGATATCGTTAGTCATTTTTATTAAAATCAATTAATAATATTTTCAGTAATCACCGAGTAGAAGAACGGCCGATAAAACTGCAAAAAGTCGTTTTTGCTTTTCAGGCGTGAATCCCACCATCTCCATAGACTGCTTCAATCGCGAAAATTCATGTCTTTCATCGATATTTTCAAGACCGTAACAGCCACTTTTGTTTAAATAATTATAACGTTCGCAACTTTCTAAATGTAAAAGTTGCCTTTCCTGTTCATTTGCGCCAGCTAATAAATAATAAAAAACGTGGTAATTCCTTTCGTTTCTTCCTTGAGAAACTATCCTTGACTTTTCCAAGAGATACTTCTGGACTACTGCCCTGTTGTTCAAATAATAATTATCAGTTGTTAGACAATTTAAAGTTTAATATTGGAAAGAGAGAAACTTACCCATGTACCATTCCATTTTCTTTATAATTCACTTGTATGAATTTTCCAAAACGGCTACTATTATTATTATGTGCAGTCTTTGCATTGCCAAACGCCTCAAGTACAGGACCGGCGCTAAGTATCGTCTGTTCAACGCCACTACCATGTGAACCCTTTTGACTTAAGGCAGTTAGATGATGTAATAAAAAGTTCGTTGATTCCGTTTTACCCGAACCACTTTCACCACTGATCACAATACACTGATTCCTTTTTTCTTTTAACATGCAATGATACGCCGCGTCGGCTATCGCAAATATGTGCGGAGGTATGTCCGGGCCCAATCGTCTGTTTTGATAAAGTTTCACGTACTTTGGATTATAAATGGGATAAAATTTAAATGGATTTAAAGCAATCAATATGCTGCCAACATAGGTGTATATATTTCCAGCTAAAAATCTAGCACGAAGATTGTCTAAAAGGGTCTGCTCGTTAAGGTCAGGAAGCTGACATAAATCTGGATATTCTTTGTCTCGCGGTTGATACAGGAATCTATTGAAATAATCCTTTAATAGTTGCGGATCCATAGGAAATCTACTGTCGCACCATAAATAATCCGTTTGCTTTTTCCTCAAGTAAAACCTAACGGAGATATCACCAAAAACGAGAACGTATATAATTATACTTTTGTATATAAATTTTCTTATTTGATTAATGATGATATTAGAAAGATATTATGTTACCTGTAATACTCTTGCTGAGCAGCACTTTTTGGCCAGAGTAACATAAGCGCTACGGGGCATTCGGAAGGACCAAGTCTTCTTTCTTTACACTCCTGCCCAACAGAATTTCCTACCACTTCTGCTAACTCGTAACCATTGGAGACAGTGGCATCCACCAAACCCAATCTTTCGATAATACATTCGACTATTTCTGCCGAAGAAGTCTGTTTCGTAGCTTTAATGGATAACGCTTCATATTCGGGGCTCCATTCGCCCACGAATACTTGTACCACTCCAGAGCCGCAGTTATCCATATTTATAACCCTGAAAAATCAGTCTCATCGATAAAAATATATTCCAAATGACATTGATATCCACGTCCTAATAATAGAGGACGTATCGAAGTAAATGACTTTTAAATTACCTTCCTTCAATTAGGGTTAGCAAATACGTCCTCTGCCATCCATAGGATACTTCAAGCGTTTCATTATCCCTTCATTCTTCTTCGTTGTTATATACACCCACTCATACAATGGTTTAAAATAACTTTTACACATTCTGTTTAAAAAATGTTACCTACTATGCTCTCACAGTTTATCATCAATGGTCTATGTACACGCATCAACTATATCATATCTTGAACGGTCATGTAACTTTATTTCACTGCACGACTTATGCACTAGCTGGAATTAACCAGACTATATTTAAGTAAAATACTTAATTTAATAATAATAATAATCGTCGTCGTCGTCGTCGTCGTCGTCGTCGTCGTCGTCGTCGTCGTCGTCGTCGTTGTCGTCGTCGTCGAAATTATGCAGAAACAATCGTTCGACTAAATAAAATATCATAAGCCTTCTTTCTTTCTCTAAATAGCAATATAAAACTGCTTAGGAATATCAGCGCTTTAATAATCTTCTGCTTATCATCGAGTTTTATTTTCATTCTATTATTCAATAATTTGATCGATAAGGAGAGAATAGAGTATTATAATTTTCCTCTATATTATTTCAATATAATAAAATAGATTTACTAAAATTATAATTTTCTCTTTTAGTTTATAAATTCAGTCAAATAGCAGATCCATATTATTGATCTTGTTCTCAAAGAATAAGAGTATTTTTCATTGATACTATTACTTTTAACCTTAATGTTAAGCTTTTAACATTGAATGCCTATAGAATTTTCCTGACAGCCATCAAATTATTATCATGAAATTTCTTGTATGCTTGCAAATTGCGTGGGTATTCTATTGTTGGCAGGCAGTAGAATAGTCTTCTCGCTATGACAAAAGTATATAGGTCTCAATGTATCGGCATATCCGTATGCTTTTCAACTGTTTTAACGTGTTCATCGCGACAGGGATCTTTCTCTCATGGATATAATATTTCTTGCAGAAAGTTTTTCTTAATCAGAAAAATACTTTATCTGAAAAAAAAAAAAAGAAAAGAAGCCAATTAGCAAAATGTCAATTTCTTCGTTGCTAATGACATATTAAACAATTGCATGCACAATCATACGCAAGGTATCTCAAGGTGTTTTCAAATAACGACTTAGTAAATGAAGGATTTATTGGTAGTAATAGGAATACGTTTGGATATGTTATTAATTTAAGATTTACATGAAGTGGCATAATTATTCATGCAATTTCTATCATACGTAGGAATCTGTTTCGAAGGAAACGAATTATCATCGCAAAATGAAATGACAGCTAGAGATAGGGGGGGAGGGAGGAAGGGAGGGGGCGGTGGCGGCGGCTTGACGCTTCGATGCAAAAGAAAAATCGCTGGTATAACCTTAAAGCAACGAGACGATATAAATTACATATGCTTTCGTAGCGTTAAACGACTTGTGTACAATTACGAGGACGACGATAACGACAGAGCCGATCTTGCGAGGAAAAAGATAACCCGCACCTATCGACGACCTTTTTCGATCCTAATACGCACATCCACGCGTACAGTGGTAGATCGTTGGAAAAAGTGGTGCACATCGCAATAAGGAGAACAACACTTCGAAACAATATTCAAGCGAGCATTAAGCTAGATCGAATCCTATATACGACACCTTTCTCTTTTTTTCGCCATTTCTGCGTTTTACCATGCATTCGCTTTAATGAAGAATAAAAGAATTAAAGATATATCTCGCGAGAAAGGACAACGCGCGAACTCTTGAGGCAACGTTTATTGCTGCCAAGATCGTTCCTGCATCCGTGTCTACGGCTTGACATTCGCAAGGAAAAACTTCCCGTCCCGACGATTGGCGGCGGGTCACGGATCGTGCTACCAATCGAGCGCCGATACGCGATCGCGAACGTCAACAGAGTAAACCGGGCTTAAAGCGGCAAAAGGAATTTCTCGCTCGAAGGTAGACCGATCACCGGACACCATCACCACCACCACCACCGTCGGCAATAGTAATAGAAATAGCAACACCATCTACTACCACAATTAATGCTCGTGAGCGATCAGAGAGGGCGGGGGGGAGAGAGAAAGACTGAGAGGAGAGAAAGAGATAGAGAGAGAGAGGGAGAGAGAGAGAGAGAGAGAGAGAGAGAGAGAGAGAGAGAGAGAGAGAGAGAGAGAGAGACGGAGAGAAAGAGAAAGAAAACGCGCGTCTTAAAGGGCATGCACTAGAAACGCTCAAGAAACACGCATGAATTTCTTTTTCATTTTACCTCCTTTGTCGATTCCAAGGCGTTTGCAATGACACATCCTTTTGATGCATGAAAGGAGAGCCTGTTATACACTGGTAAGTACATACTAATCGCAGCCTCCCTTCCTCTTCAGCACTGCCACTAAACCGTCACCGTATCTCGATACGTCCAAAAGAGACTCCTTCTCCTTCTTCGTTCGTACGCCGCGAAAATATTCTTCTTTTTTGGCGAACACCCTTCGAAGAACCAACACCTTTAACGAGGAGAGAGAAACGAGACAAACACCCACGATCGCTGTGTGCACACGGCTATGCTTTCTCTCTCTCTCTCTCTCTCTCTCTCTCTCTCTCTACATCCAACCTCTTTCTCACAACACACACACACACACACGCGCGCGCGCACACACTGGATCTCTTGCTTCAGAGGCACTTACAATACGGGCGAACTGACGTTCAAACAAATAGGACCTTTTCTTGTTAAACTTCTGATTTCCTAACGGTCGAACTTCATCAGGGATCTTAATGATCGACGACGATCGAATTCATTCCGATCCTCCGGAATTTTCTTACTTCTCGATAATACCAACACGCGATACGACAAGCCCTTACCCAGTTTATCGCCCTTCGTCTTCTCTCGGGATCCTTCGTCCCGATACGTCCACCATTTCGATTTTCCTAATCACGTGACTTTTCTGGTAATACGATTGGCTTGTTCTATCGGTCACGTGGTACATCGTGAACCATTGGGAAACGATAAAGAGAAGGGAGAATAGTGAATAGTTTCTACAGATCTTGTTATCATATTAGGAATTTCCTTATTACGAAAATCCTTGATTAATCGAAATAATATTTTATATTTCTTTTGTTTTTTTTTTCTTCTTATGACGAAGAAGACAACCGATGAACAAAGAGAAAATGGTACTTTTCTAATTTCGAATATAAACTACGAGTCATTGAGAAGGTATGTGTATTCAGTAGCGCCCTCGATGCGATTTAAATATATAATACAAATTTTGCACTTTTAAAAGTAAAATATTTGAGATATTAATTAAAACTTATCATCGATCACCACAAAGTTTTTCGTATACAACATATATTTATAGATATATCTATGAAGTAACGAACATAATCTTTTATCTCTCAAAGTTAGTTCGAGCATTTCTTCGCCAGATGACTCTCGAATCGTGAGCGAATCGATCGATGACATCGAGCGTTCGAGAAGTTCTCATGAAGGATACTTCAATTGTTTTCGATAAATGTTTCAAGTAAAATCTAAGTTAAGAGTTAATATCTATCTATTAATTATATTTTCTTAATAGGATAAATTTGATATAAAAGCAAAGTCGTAAAATTTCTACTAAAGTTTCTTCTCGTTTAAGTATATCTCTGTCGTGGATATTTACGTTCGCGTTGATCGTTGTAAATAAGAATTTAAAAGGTAATAGGAACATTTTGAAAAAGAAAAATTCGAGTCCAGATATAGAACATCTCCTTTAGGTACTTTTATTGATGTTCACTGATGTTCTACGCTGTATTTTGATGTACCACAGTCGTTGCATCCATTTGACGCGTCGGTAAAAGAATTTGCTCGATGCCGGGAGATCTATTTTATCGATAACGTTTACCATTCAAGAATGATTATCATTCGAGAGATAGACATTGATTAGTACCTTATTGTACTACTGTCGCTTCGTAAGAAAACGAACTTTGCGAAGTTGCAAGAAGATATTTTTAAATGTACCCTTTAGTCTCAATATCGAATGATTTAGTTAAAGTTATACGCGACAAATGTCAAAGTATCAAGCAGAAATCTCATTTGAAAGTTTTGATTGATTATAACAGGGGATTGGTTTGGCTTTCAAACGTAAATACAAAGACGCTACATTTCCAATCAAGAATCAGGTCATCAGGTAAGCAGATTTAATCCTACAAAATCTAGGAATATCTTTTAAACCATACACGTATCGTTACTCATTTGGAAAAGTTCAATTTAATAATATGGAAAAAAAAAGAAGTATATGTACGAATGGATTTGCAGTTTGACATAAAATATTTCGATTTGAATCGATCGATCGAAAGAAAATTGATCTTGATAGACGAAAATATACGTCAGTTGAGATATACGTCATAGAGCGATTCTATGCTTGACGCGATTTCGCTTTGGCGGTGCATCGACTTGTTCGATGCATTTTTAAAGAGGAATTTCTAGTCGCGTTTTATCGATTAAACCGAGAGTGAGAGAGAGAGAGAGAGAGAGAGAGAGAGAGATAAGGTATATAAGGGATTAGAACGTTCGATATTTCTACAAGCTCGAAGTATCTCGCGTATTACTATTTACGAGAGATTACGTTCGGATCGTTAGACTTACGATCGTTGATCCTCCCTCGTGACGTAACGATGCATCGCGCAGTTGGCGCGACGTCGACCTCGCCGATCTCTCTACCTGGAATAGAGGATAGAGAATAGAGAGAGAGAGAGATCACGTATTCAGAACGTTCGTCACAGTTTTTGACGGATTGAAAGCAAATCGTACGCGACGTACACCTACTAACGATCGATGGGATAACGTGAAAATTTTCGACTCGTAAAAGAGGGACCTTCGTCCCGTGTTCATCGTACATACGCGTTTCTAACTTTTCCTGTTATTAGACAAAAGATAGAAAACACGATGATTGTTCAGAAGCCGCGCATACGTATCTATCGGAACGTTTGTTTACTCTTTTGCGTAATTGTTTATTTAGAGGAGAAAAAGGAAACAAAATTACGTTCTACTTGCTACTACGTAGTAAACAAGTTCACGTTAACGAAGCATACGACCTTCTTGCTGTTTAACCATTATTTTTATATCCGTGGACCTTTGCTATTTTCTATAGTGTTTATTTATTTCTTTTCTTTTTTCTTTTTTTTTTTTTTCGTCTCCGCACACGTGTATCCGTTGTAATGTATTATCGCGTATCGCTAATGTCACGAACTAGTTTTCCAACTTTGGTCCTTCGTGTTACCGATGCGTACACGATGTAGCGCTTATACGATCGCACGTGAGCTACAAGTGAATTTCTATGTGCCAGCGATATCGTAGAAAGACCGCATAATTAGAACACGCGATATCTCTTTCTAAACTTGCTGACACACGTATAGCAAGTACGTGTACGCGTGTACAACGTGCCGTTATATCGACGTATACACACCTATTATATCTATATATAGAGCCAATTGGCAAAGCGTAGAAGATTTGCCTATTCGTAAACTCGAAACACGGATAATGTTTTTTCTCGGGGAGAGAAAATTCGTAAACTCGTGTTTTGCGATGGACGCGATCGTAAGAGCAATGCTGCCCCAATCTTCATTTTCCACGAACCTCGTGCATTTTCCTTCCTTCCTGCTTTCTTTTTTTCCTTTATCAAGAAAATACGTCGCGCGAATAACAAGAATGACGAGTAAATATTCCAACATCGTGAATAAGGAACTGTAATATCTAAGAATATATATTTCTTACAATTTGTCATAGATTTTGCATGCAAGAATGTACGTATATATATTATATACTTGTGCGTATACATGGTATATAATACTATCGGAATGCCATCGGTCTAGCTTAATGGACAATGTGTGACAGGGAATTCAGCGAAGCGAGTACTCCTCCTGCGTCTACGTCAGTGGAACTTGGAATTTCGCTGATCAATACGCCAGCAAGTATACTAGCATATTTTGCGTCTCTTGCGGCAGTCTGTTTAAATAGAATAATTCATAAAAAGTTGGTTATGCCGACGAGAGTCGTGATTCTCGATAAACCGAACTTAAAATTCCTTCGATGGCCACTCGAGTGGCTTGCTACTAATATTTTACCGACGAAAGTTTCTCACGATAGATGGCTATTTATCGGGAAATCCGCGTGAGGAAATTTATAATAACGAAAAAACGACGATGCTTTCGCCAGATAAAAATAAGAATCCAGGGAGGTTGCCGGTTCATCCGAGTCATCGAAACAAATTCCTTCTAAAGATAATCCATTAGGATTCGCGGATATATGAGACAAACGAGATCGTTCCTTCGAAAAGTCTATGATATTGATGAAGGCACACGATCTACTACTTTATTAGACGTATATGCCACGTATGAACGTGACCTGATAAATGCTTCGTTTAAACGCGCCAAGTTGTGCGCATACACATCAGAAATATCACACGTACATACGTTTACTTTTATACATTTCACTCATTCTCCTCGTTTCTCTCGAGTTTTTCCCGTCAATACTGGACGGTGCTTTGCCGACTTGGCAATTTGCGAATCGAGAAGCATTTCCTTTACGGTGGTAGATCTCCTATTCGTTAGATGTACAACGATGATAATTGAAAGTAAAAGCGGTGTTTCGAGTCGTTATTAGGACAAGTGGGCGTGAGTAAGACGATGATTCGCTCGTGGGAGTAGATATTCAAAGAGATTAATTCGATCCGCGTAACACCGCCGGGAATCTCTAAACTCTGATGTCGAACGTACACGACGACATTCGTAGTATGTCCAATGCATTCCGAGCCAACCATTTCCATTTCTAGAATACAATAAATATTATTTTTCTGACTGACAGATATTACTTTCGAATATCTCATCGTCAGCCTTCGTCTCCGAATTGTAAGGCGAATTAGCGAGTATCGCACCAACATCGTTTTGTCCATTGAAGGGAAAAGGGAGCACGGCCGGAGACCCACAATGGATCCCAGGGAAATCAGTGGAAGAAACTTGCTGGCGATGGAGTTTCGCCAAGTTCCGAATGAAGAGGAAAGCAGCAACGAGCACAGATTTCTATCGCGAGTTGCATTCTCGTGGAAGACGGCGAATGCGCGCATCGAATATTAATATATTTTCTTTCGAAGCACTCGAATATATGCACTCTATATAGGAGCATACGCGTAACTTTAGACGCACGACATAATGTAGACATCGACACATATTTTGATCGTCGATCGTCAAATATGAATTTACCGGTGCGATAAATCGTTCAATTCAATCAGTAAGAACGAGGATCAGGCGAGCGAATACAAGGTGAGCTTATTCGTCGGCCATCGACGTCAACGATCCTTGGTATTACGTCATTTTGTACCAAGGAGACAACATCGTGGGCGAAATGCCGCGTCGTCGCTAAAATATCGCGTAAGAGAGTGCTAGGTAGAAAGAGTCAAACGAGATGCATTCGAATCGAGCTGGCTAAAAGATTCCGCCCACCTCTCAGCCTATGTCTTATTAAAAGCATATGTGCATCAAGCTATTCTTTAACAACGATCTACGACAGTTTTCTATCTGGTTTTTAGGCTGGCGTATTAGAAGCGTTGTACTCGCATTACTTGTCATCGTTCGATCAACGAGGTTGGTATTTGTGCTTATTTCAACAATGGAAAGGACAGAAAAAGCTCATAACTTTTTTAGATGTCTCCGGTACATATCGACGGAATATCCCTATTGCACAGTGCAAGCATCTTTTATTGATGACTCGAAAACACGAAAGTCTATTTACGAAGCCTATCGCCAATGAAATTGCTACACGTCGAAAGCCGAATCGTTTATATCGAGTATTTTCTCGGACGATAATGACACGACAACGTCCCATTTACTCGTACCATAGTCAAAGATACTTCGAGCAAAACCCATTCGCGTTTCATTGGCAACGAGATATATACACATATACATACACACACACACACACACATACACACACACACACACACACACACACACACACACACATATATATATATATATGTACGGGTTGTAGCGCTCGCATTAGAATCTCGGAGTAGTAGGAGGCGATGGTACGAGTCGAATATGATCGGTGCATCGAAGCTAGTAGAGCGCCTCTATAGAGGACGCGGCCAAGTAGTGTAAGCACCCAATATACGCAGCCGGTTTCTCATCGATAGGAATCGCTTGCTAGTCGAGCAAAACGCTAGTCGAAAGTACGATAGAGAACGCTTATCAATAAAGTTTCACCGCTTTGATTCAACGTATCGAGCGCTTCTTCGCAGACATTTATAATTACGTGGGCCAGCTTAAAAGTTGGCTCATACGATACGATAGGATAACGAGCGATGGAAATAATTACGGCGACCGAGTCGAAAATTTTGGGCGACTCCTCGCGATTATCCGAATATGCGATCGTCGTTAGACAAGGAAACGACGCTAGATCGCTACTATTGCTCTATTCTAGCTTCTTAGCGTTCCACGTAGTGGAACGGAAGAACTTTGAATTCCAGACGTTGCGTGTACTCGGGCTCGTTCAACCCTGCATTACGACTTTTCCTCACGCAAACGCTAGGACGACCGTCTTAACCGGTCAATTTTCTCTCTTGTATTTTCACGCTTGTCTCTTACGTCGTTATCAAGTATATTTTAGATCGCATCCGATAATGAAAATCGTATTGTTACACGGCTCACTCCCCCATCTCTTACTTCTTCTAAAACCTCCTGTAAATTTCAGAGAAGCGAGAAACTTCGTTAGGAATGGGAATGAAAATTAGCGGTTGCGTTGGAGCGTATTTTTTGAGTGCTAAAGTTGGAAAGTAGTAACGCGACTCCACCCATTCCTCGTATTTCTTCGTCGGCAATGCTAAAGCAGGAAGGATTCGTAAACGGTGGATGGCAGTGAATGGTAAAATTCGTTCTCTGGAGGTACCAGTGCACGATCCCAAAGGTTAAAACTTAAATGATTTCCTCTGCATGGGAATTAATCGTTTGATGGAAGACAGGGCGTTACGGAGAACTTCATGAAACGAAAGAAAAAAGAGATCGAAGAGACCAGTATATATTCATGGCGAGTACTCAACGTTAAGTTACAACCTTTATATAGAGGATCGAATATACGCGAATTAATGCTGTGCGTTCGAGTTCGAAACAAATCATTTTAAAGGATCCGGAACAC